TTTAAACTAACCTAATTATTCTTTAATGAGTTGGACCTAAAATAAGTTTTAAAACTTAAAATTTGAGCACATTTAACCCAGAATCTGGCGGGGTTAAAAGGTTGGCCCACCTTATGCACGTGGACGCTCCCATAAAAGTGGTGGTCGCAGCAAGGTGACGTGTCCAACACACGAGACGCATGAGGGCTAACAGGAAGTTGGGCCTGCCCCTGATGAGAATGTCGGCCACCCAAAACAAGCCCAACAACTCTATTTCGATCCGACGATTTCAATTATTGGATCGTTGGTTGATCCAACTGTCCATATTCAAACCTATTTAATTGTTAAATACATTAAATCCAATGGTTGGGATCGAATATGATCAAGTCTAATGGTAAAAAAAGAAGAGATTTAATGGCTCAAAATTAAACCTAACAAATGAAACAATTGAAAAAATATTTAAATCAAAATTGACCAAAACTCTATAAATACATGATTCATGGGGTCGGTTTAGTGAATCTTTCAACTTTTCTCGGAATTTACATAAATTTTATTAAAAAAAAGGTTACCGTAAAAAAGAATTTAACCTAAATTCATTCTTTAATAATCTCAAGCTAAAATCTTAAACCATAACTATTGGAGCAAAAAAAATTGTTTCTGGGTTAAAGCCTAAATTTTTTGGATTAAAAATTTTAGGTTTTAACTCAAGAGTTGGAGATAGTCTGAGGGGGTAAGCATGATTTGGCCTAACCCTTAAATTGATTTCGAACTCGGGAATCGAATCTAAGATTTATCACTTACAAGTAAAATATAATGTAACTAGACCGTTGTATTATGTGGCATTGATTTGAATACTATAGAAGGTGAAAGTAATGAAGGTTCGTTCGAAGCTAAGAAAGGTAATGATAAAACATATTTGTTTGATTCTATTATTCAAAGAGAAGTAATTCCGGTTCTTTATATGGAGTTTTTTTTTTTTTTTTTTTTTTTTTTGAACTATCAATATTATTTACAATGAGGTACCCTCACAATATGGGCTAATAATAATATGGTTCAAATTTGTCATTCACAAGAATTGAACATATGATCTCTCACTTACTAATGAAAATGAATACCACTAGACTGTAGGTCTAAGTGACTCTTTATATGGATCTAAAAATTCCCCCCCTAAGCGGCTAGCCACCGCCCTAATTAATGTCTAGGCGTTTGAAAATTAAGAAATGGCGCCTAGACCTATTGAGACGCTTGCCTAGACCGTCTAGACCCGCCTAGGTTGCGACTCACTTAGACAGAAAATAGATAACTTCATTTTACATTTTATTTTTTTCAATAAATTGTAAGAGACTTGTTGAATACTTAAATGAACACATATTATATGATTGTTCCCCATGTTTTCATTATGTTCCAATACTTTATATTATATATGTCATTCTATTTTGTAGTTTATGATAAAATTATACATATTTTAAGTATAAACCGACACTTATTTACACGAAATATAATGGATCAACTTAAATCCGCCTAGTCCGTCTAGGCACCTGCCTAGACCCCGTTTGGCCGCCTAGACACTAGACTCTAGCCCGCCGTCCGACTAACGCCTGCGTCTTTTAGAACTTTTATGGAGTTTGAAACAAAAGATGAAGCATAAATAGTGTCTGCGTCCCCTGGCATTTGTGAAACTTCAAAGAAATTAAAGAATTGATACTAATATTGAAACTTTAAACACCTATTTCCAAACTGTATATTTGTTTCTTTTCACCAGAAGTTTCATCCAGCTCTTCATGCTAATCAACTACAAGAGGGTCAAGGCTGGTTTTGAGAATTGTGAGAGCAGACGTGTATATACAATAGGGAACACGAATTTTTTTTTAACTTTTCACACACGCTTATTTAATCATGTCCTTTACTATTGTTTGATTTAATCGATTCATTGACTAGAAATGAAGAAGGTGTATTAGAAGGTAAATTGAATGTGTGAAAATCACCTTCTATATAATATAAAAAGGGTGGTGCTATCAACATACCCCTTTTTACATCTCATGCATCCTCTCAAATTTTAGCCTCAGATCAAATAAATTGAAAAAGATCAAATTATATAAATTTATTTGAAAAGATCATACAAATTGAAATATATCAAGTTTTGACCTCAGATCAAATGACCATTGCAAAGCATTACAGAAAATTGAAAATTCCTCACATAATGTATATCTGAAGAATTTCGGTCGTCACGAGGTGTGTCACCTATTAAAAACAATATAAAAAGTTATAAGAAAAGTTATTTAATTTCCACAACTAGACAAGTTTTTCTTTGGTACTCCAACCTACCAGCCAATTAGATTCACGCACTTGGAGACAAATGGAGAGAGATTCCTATGAGCAGTTCTATTCGATTGAGCCCGAAGTGATTATCAATGATATGACCGAAGTGAAACAATACGAGCATGAGTCTACAGATGATTTCATTGCCTGATTCAAGAGGTTGAAGATGAAGTGTAATTGCATCTTGTCCAACCAGCAGAGCATAGCTATTGCTCATAAGGAATTGAGTACCCCTCTCAACTGGTTAAGGAGAAGCAACATAGCAAACATTCATCCAAAATTCATTTATGTGAGACCAAAGTACTCATCTACCACCACCAGATATATGGATGTTTGCATGACCCCAACGGGATTGGGGAATAGGAATACGAAGTTGCACTTGCCGAGATTGATCTGAAAAATCCATTTGTTTCGGATGCGCAGTTGTATTTAAAATTTTGTACTATATTGCTTACATACTATTTTTGTGAGATATCAAACCACATGTAGTACTAATTTGAAATTTAGGGTAACTTTGTGCCGTTTGAGATTTGAGGTGCGATTTTATGTCATTTTTATTAATACGATAATTTTGGGAATTAAGTAATTAACGGGCATTTGAGCCATTAATTGCCTGCACACTATCTTCTCCATAATGATCATTTTATTGCTGGTAGGCACAATGCCTTTAAAATGGGCCATTAAGGGGAATTGGCTTTGTGCCATGCTATCTTCCACTTAAAGACCATTTCATTGCTTGTACGTACAATGCCTCTGGTGCATCAACTAGTGTCCAGACTTGGTTGACACTTACAAAATTCGTCTCGGATTTAAAGTTTCTAAAGAATACCTCCCAAATTAATCTGCACTTGATAGACAACTACAGGCTTGTATGCATTAAGTTCATTGACAATGCACGACAACCTCAACTCTTAATTTGATTAGGACTCAACTTTCTTTCAAACTACATCTCATCCAGTTAACCGAACTTACTTGAAAGACATTCCATTTAACAATTATAACATTTTAACAACGCGTATGTCACAAGGATACAAGTAAATCGGTTAAGCTTATATCTTCTTTAAGGTGCAACCATCACCGTCATTTAGGATGGTGAGAAAAATATTATTATGATGCAGAAGTTACATCACTGGAACTGGAATAAAATAAGGAAGGAGAGTGAGTCATAGCCGTGCGAGAGCATCTGAAGTGGGAGATGGTTAGTGCCGAGGCACGATCCCTCCTTATTTTACTCATCCCTCTAATAATTTCTGATTTCATTTGCTTGCTTCAGCCTCCATCACCATTTCAGAACCACTCCCCACTGATTCTCTCAGTCTCCTTTTCAATTTTTTAGTTAAATTTAAAGGTTCCTCTTTTAGTACGATTCTCCTCACAACTCAACCAATCATTTTCCAAGCTCACTCAACTGACTCAGTCTCCCGTGAAGAAGTTGAGGTAGACCGTAAAATTAAAGATTTTTTTTATTTTTTCAATGTGAAATTTAATCGCAAGAGGTCGCACTTGGTGCGATGGCAAGTGCCTTCGCCCATGAGCGGTAGGTCTCGGGTTCGAGACTTGGGAGCAGCCTCTCCATAAATGGAGGTAAGGCTAGCCGACATTCACCTCTCCCAGACCCTGCGTAAAGCGGGAGCCTTGTGCACTGGGTACGACCTTTTAATGTGAAATTTAATCGCAACACGTTTTTCAGTTGTAGCGAATTTTTAAACCTAGCACATGAACATCGCAAGTCAAATAAAGTGAAATATGTGTGACCATTGAGCTTCACACATAAGACAATCTGCTTTGATTAAGGTTTTATTGTAGAATCAATAGGGAGGAATGACACAACTCAGCATCTCTGTCTGTACTTTGGTGAGCTATCAGCTATTGGTTGACTTTACAGCGTGAAGTACAATGTCCATGATGGGCTGCATACGTCTGTGGTGGGGACCATTAGTGCAAGTTAGAATCTTTCTCACCCAATGAGGTAGCTTGGACTGGAATTATAATATGTTCTTAATTTCCCAAGGAAAGATGGAACTTTGGAATTGTGGTGGGGAGGAGAAGGGGAGAAGGAACTCTCTGTGACTAGGAAACAACTACCTCTGCAACTCAGAGCACTTTTCTGAGGTTGTTTGTTGTATTGTAGTTGCAGATAGCTTTTTAGGGGTTTATGCAGAAACTAGTGTCTAAATAAACCAAGAAAAAATAAATAAAACCCACTTGACTTGTGGTTGGTATCTCCAAGAATCTTCACACAGTGAGTTGTTCTTATTCCTTTTTCTTTTCTGTTGCTTTTTCTGGGTCTCAGAAACTGGATTGCTTCTTGTATTGTGAAGTGAAATGCTTGAATTCTCAATTGGAATTTTGACTGTAAGTGAATGAAAGATTCTTCCTTTTTTTGTTTCTGGGTAAAACGGTTGGTACAAGATTTGACCCACCTCTTAAGAATATGTGGAAAGTGGGATTTATTTAATTTCTTCTGTTTTTGCCTATTGATTTGAACCATTGATATTGGAAGATTTGATGGTTCTATGGTCATTGACTCGTATGGAATTTCTATTAGTGGAAAGGAGAATCTAATCTTGGTACAATAACTAATATATATATTTACAGTTTAATTCCTGTTGCTTTGCTTTTGTTTAGTTATTACTTTACCTTGTTAATTCTATGAGAAGAGCTGTTTGCAATTTCTTTTGTTATTTGTTGTACTCGGAAGATTTTTTTTAATGATTTTGGGGAATTCAAACAGACTCGGATTTGAAGGCCCGACGCTCAAGAATTGAATTCTTGCCAAGATTAATGAGTTTTGGAACCTACAGGTTGGGGGATAATCCGGAAAGTGAGGCTTCTGCAATGGATGATGGTGTTCTGTCACCAGCTACCATGTTGGGAGCTCAACCTGATTCTGCCACGGATTTAGATTTCATGGACGAACTCTTCTTGGAGGGATGCTGGTTGGAAACCACATATGGACCTGAGTTTCCTAATCAGAGCCTTCCCAGTACCGCTGCCCCCTTGAACCCCTCCTTTTTTTGGCATACGTTGGAGACCAATGGCAATATGGCCATGAACACGTCTCACAACAGTAATCAAGAGGAGATGCAACGACCATTCCTTAAACAACTTGTAGAAGGTCCTGTGAATCCTCAGTCTCCTAGAGAGGATATGATAAAAGATGCTGTGGCATACTCTGGTCAATCAGTGGATCCTACAATTGAAGGTCGTGAATTTAGCAGAAGGTGGTGGATTGGTCCCACTGGAAATGAAGGTTTTGCATCATCTGTGACGGAGAGATTAATGAGGGCTCTCGTGAACATTGGAGAGGTCATGAGAAACAAAGATGTTCTTGTACAAGTATGGGTGCCAGTGAACAGAGGGGGTAGACGTGTTTTAACAATGAATGAACTTTTCTATCTTGATTCTAGCTGTTCCAGGCTCGCTAAATATCGAGACATCTCTGCTAATTACCAGTTTGCAACTGGGGAGGATTCAACAGAAATGGTTATGGGGTTGCCTGGCCGGGTTTTCTCAGGTAAGATTCCTGAGTGGACTCCTGATGTTCGATACTTTAGACATGATGAATATCCACGGGTTGGCCATGCTCAACAGTATAATGTAAGTGGAACTCTAGCCCTTCCCATCTTTGAACAAGGTAGTAGGACTTGCTTGGGCGTTATTGAGGTTGTTACGACCGACCAGAAGATAAAATATCAATCTGACATTGACAGCGTTTGCAAGGCACTTGAGGTCTGTGCTCTTTCCTTGTATCAAAATTTCATTCGTTTGGCCTTCATCCTTTCACGTCATTGCAATAGGCACTTGGAGTTTATTAGGTTTGTTATGAAAATTGACAAATAATATTACAAGAGTTGACATCAATCAAAGTCCCATCAGTCTTAGAGATGACATCAATCAAAGTCCCATCAGTCTTAGGGGCATCCTTATGCCAAATCGAACTGTATATGTGGCATCTAACTTAACATTGTAAAGGTTCTTGCTTTATCTTCTTTTGTGTTCATGATAATGAAGCAAGTTTCTCTTTTGTTAATCCTCTAACACTGTTTTCCAAACCGAGAGAATAGTTAAAGAATTAAACTTAAACTACGGGAATGAAAGCAACCCTATCTCAACAGATACTCCGTCCCACCCATGAATTGGAAACTCAATTCTGTTGTTTATCCCTATGAGCTTCTGAATCAGTGCACATAAACACCAATTTGAGGATGGAAATATGAGTAGAAACCTCTTTTTTTTCGTTCCTGTGCTTATTTTCATTCAATTTACTTAGATAAACCTTCATAGGTCCATGCTGCTAGATAAAGACTTTTGAATTTCATATCACAGGGGCATATAATTAGTTGTAAACTGTTCGCATGAATCTTGTTTTCTGATGTAGACAAGCTTTAAAATTTGCAGGCTGTTGATCTTCGAAGTTCTAGAAATTTGAGTACTCAAAATGTAAAGGTAAATGCATAATTACCCTGAAGGAAGATTGATTTATCACATATTAGTATATTCTGATTTTTGTTCTAAGGTCATTTGGTGGATTATCTTAGCAGGGGTGTGACAAGCCCTTCCACGCTGCATTACCCGAGATCCAAGAGGTCTTGAGATCTGCATGTGAGACGCACAAATTGCCCTTGGCACAAACCTGGATGTCATGCATCCAACAAGGTAAAGATGGGTGCCGACATACTGACGACAACTACGTCCACTGTGTTTCAACTGTGGAGCATGCTTGTCACGTGGCTGATCCTTGTATCCAGAGTTTTCATGAAGCGTGCTCTGAGCATCACTTGCTAAGAGGCCAAGGCATCGTTGGGAGAGCTTTTATGACCAATCAGCCATGCTTCTCAGATGACATAACTTCCTTTGTCAAGACAGAGTATCCTCTATCTCACCATGCCAGGATGTTTGATTTGCATGCAGCTGTTGCAATACGTCTGCGGAGCATTGACACTGGTTCAACTGATTTTGTCCTGGAGTTCTTCTTGCCAGTGGAGTGCAGGGATCCTGAAGAACAGGAAAAGATGCTTACATCACTGTCCTTGGTTATGCAACAGACATGCCGGAGCTTACGGGTTGTCACAGACAAGGAAGTTGAGGAGGAAACTAATTTTCATGTCAGTGAGGTGATAGCTCGGTCAGATCCCGGACCAAGTAATATTGCTTGTTTCACAGAGGTCCAACAGAATGGTAAGGATGTCTCAATGTTCCCGAACCAAAAACCACGCAAGGTGCTGAGTGTGAAATTGTCGAAGTTAAGGCAGCATCAAGAAGATTCAAACCTAAAAGGTGGTGTTGAGTGTGGACAAGAGTTTTCTGCTCTAGGTGAGGGTAGCTTTTCAAGTGTTGGTGTGAGTAAGACAAGAGAGAAAAGACGTACCAAGGCAGAAAAAGATATCAACTTTGAAGTTCTTCGCAAATATTTTTCCGGTAGTCTAAAAGATGCTGCAAAGAGTATTGGAGGTAAGAATTTCTTTTGATAAACCTGCTTCCTGTTTGATGCTTTAGTTGTGAATATTTGCATGGCATTTTGGTGGCCTTCAGAGTAATGGGACTGCTGTGTATACTTGATGCAATTTATAATTGTTTTACTTGTGCAATCTGTATGGTGTACGTATGCACCTTGCAATCTTCTGAAATTAAGTTTGTTGTGCTAGGATAGCACCAAACCTTATGGAACCAACTCTTGATAATCCACAGGAAATATATCAAATGAAATGTAAGAACAAAATATTAAAAACACCAAGATTTTAACGAGGTTCCTCAACAATCAGTTTAACTGGAGTACGTCCTCGGAGCAGTAGGAGCTCACCCAATAATCCACACTATCAACCAAATGAGAGTTTACAAAGTGTTGGCAAGATCACAAGCCAAAACCCCAATACAACCAATAGCTCTCACACACCAAAGAAACAAATACAGAGAAATATAATGAATAATGTCCTCTCTATACAAAGCTCAAAGCTATTACAATAATAAAACTTTGATGGAGTGAGAACTAAACAATGAGAGGGCACACCTTCTTCTTCTCTCCAAAATGGAGCTACTGAAAAAACTAATATGTGCTTTCTATTTTTTGCTACTATGTGGCTGCCCTTGCTCTCTAAAAAATGGGCTACTAAAACAAATGGTGCTCTCCCTCTTGTCTCTCACATTCAGATGCTAAGCTTCATCCTTTTGAAAGCACCCAAAAACAAAACCAATAATAAGGCTACTTGCTAGCCTTTACATTTTTTTTCTACAAACATCATCATGACCCTTTTTATCTTTTCAACAAACATAATGATGTTGTCTACCTCCTTTTATTTATTTTATTTAGCCAAAAGTTGTTTTGTCATTTGGCTATAATTCAACAATCTCCACCTTGGCCAAATCCCAAAAATGCCATGACGAACCAACCAACACAATCAACACAAAGATTACTCCCAAACACTAGCAAGAGAACAACTCATGCCGAGCCAAATGCTCCAAAACTCCTACTGCTCAACGCCTTCTTTGTATAGGTAAAATGTGAGCCAACTTCAAGTAATGAACAAACTTGGCTACACCAACAACCTTAGTCAACATATCAGCGGGGTTGTCTTTAGTTGGAATCTTCTGGAGAATAATCTCTCATTCACCAATGACTTCACGCACAAAGTGATAACGCACATCTATGTGCTTGGTCCTCGCATGATGAACCTGATACTTAGCCAAATAAATGGCACTCTGACTATCACAATGTACCTCCACCTGCTTCTGATCAACCCCCAAATCTCTAATCAGCCCATGTATCCAAATGGCCTCCTTTATACCTTCAACAACTGCCATATATTCAGTCTCTGTAGTAGACAAGGCAACATACGATTGCAAAATGGACCTCCAACAAACTGGCCCTTTAGCTATAGTAACACATAGCCTGTAGTAGACTTCCTTCCATCAAGATCACCTGCATAATCTGAATCAACATAACCAACTGTAAAATGACCAATATTAGAGTCATCTATCTCAAAGCATAAACCAACATCTCGAGTACCATGCAGATACCTCAATATCCACTTAGCTGCTTGTCAATGCTCTTTACCTGGATTATGCATATATCGACTCACCATGCCAACTGCATGAGCAATATCCGGTCTAGAGCATACCATTGCATACATCAAACTACCAACCAAATTTGCATATGGTATATTTTTTATTTGCAGCTTCTCTTTATCAGTTTTAGGACTTTGTAGAGAACTCAATTTAAAATGAGGAGCCAAAGGGGTACTAACCGGTTTGGTTAAATCATGAACTCCAAACTTCCGAATCAACTTCTCAAGGTATTGTCTTTGATTCAAACTGACCAAACCCTTCTCTCTATCTCTAGTGATCTCCATGCCAAGGATCTTCTTCGCTTCACCAAGAACCTTCATCTCAAACTCGTTCTTCATTTGCTTCTTCAATTTCTTAATCTCTTCGACATTTTTTGAGGCAATTAACATATCATCAACATATATCAACAAATCAATGAAAGACCCATCTTGCAACTTCGTGAAGCACACACAATGATCATATTGACTTCTAGAATAATTTTGGCCTCTCATAAATTTATCAAACCTCAAATACCATTGCCTTGGAAATTGCTTCAAGCCATAAAGTGATTTCTTCAATTTGCAAAACAAATTCTCCTTCCCTTTCACTGTATACCCATCTGATTGACACATATAGATCTCTTCATTCAAATCACCATGTAGGAAAGCCGTCTTCACATCAAGTTGCACAAGCTCAAGATCATACTGTGCAACAAGAGCTAACATAATGCGAATTGAGGAGTGCTTCACAACCGGAGAAAAGATTTCGTTGTAGTCAATGCCCTCCTTTTGTGCATACCCTTTAGCAACTAATCTTGCTTTGAATCTCACATTGCTTTTCTCATCAGCACCTTCCTTCTTGACATACACCAATTTGCAACCGATAACTTTCTTACCCTTAGGCAATTTAGCAAACTCCAAAGTCTTGTTCTTCAAGAGAGAATTCATCTCATCACCCATGGTATTGCACCATTTCTCCTTTTCTTCACTCTCAATGGCTTCCTCAAAATTGGATGGAATCTCATCAATGATAATAGGAAGAGCAAAAGCAACATAGTCACTATACCGAGCTGGCTTGGTATTTGTCTCTTTCCTCTTTTCTTGGCAATATACTCTTGAGGTGAAACTTGCTCTTTAACTTGAATAGAATCTGTTGATGCACAAAATCGGAAGGTCTTGGAACAATGTAAATCCGACCGTGAATCATGCAAACGTCCAAGAACACAAAGATGTATCGTGGTTCACCGCAATGTTTGGGCTACGTCCACACTGATGTTGATTGTATTTCTCTGTAACTGTATGTATGGATTACAAGCTCAAGGGGAGTCCCCTTGAGGAAGAGAGTGTTTGAAAGAGTTTCTCTGTGAGCTTTGTGGCTTGTATGTTTTGGGGGTATCCCCGAGTCTCCTTTGTGAGGGGGGGAGGAGTCCACTTTTATAGAATAAGGGCTCCTCCTTTTACATAATTATAGGCTGGGTAATGAGGCCCAAATGTTGAGGCCCAATGTGTCAAAGTCTGAGGCCCAATATGTGTGGTACCAACAGTAGTCCCCCAAGTCTTCAGTCAAGAGAGTCTTTTGGCTGGAGACTTCAAATCCAATCCATGTACGGGCCGAAGTGGCTAGATGTCTTGAACCAGTACTCAACCCAAGGCAATGCTCAACATAAAGCAATACTCAACTAGAGCTATCACACGTTACGAGACTGCTCGGCTGGAGGCCATACTCGTTGCGAAGCTGCTTGGCTAGAGGCTATGCTCGCGACGAGGCGTTTGCTCAGCTGGAGGCGATGCTCGTTGCGAGGTAGCTCGGCTAGAGGCTATGCTCGCTGCGAGGCAGCTCGGCTCGTAGTATTCCTCATTGCAAGTATCTACTTTATGTCGACATGCACTCAGTATGAGTTGATTCTCGACATGACTCGAGTCCGCATGCCGGGTTCGCATATTGGGTATATGTGTCGGATCCGCGGATCGGGTCCGCAAGTCGGGTCTTTGAGTCGGGGCCATACGTAGGGTCATCGAGTTGGGGCTATCTGTAGGGTCATCGAGTTGGGCTATCTGTAGGGTCATCAAGTTGGGTCCAGGCACATAGATGTCCCAATAAGTGAATGTCCAAGCAAGTGGGTGTCCGGTCAGACAAGAAATCACCGTTCGGACTAAATATTTGTCACCATAAGCATGTGGCCCATCAGTCTACAAGTTGTTAGACTTCTTTAATCAGCGACAATGTCGATCAGTAGAGCTGGTTGCTTGATAATTCCTGACAATAAGTGGTAGCATAAGTATGACTGTATAATGAATAAATCAAATTGACAAAGTTTGTCAGGGCAAAATATTATAATGTGTGCTTTCTATGAATAAATGATTTATTCAGTTGTGTGGTAAATCATATGTTGTATAAATCAATAACGTGGTAGTAATCATATGATATCAGAAATAATAATTATATTATTTAATCATAAGTCATCATGACATAAAAATAATAAAATTATTATTTTATAATTAGTCATCATGACACAAATAAAATAATAAGATATTAAATAAACAATGATATTGAGAAAACATAATGATGTTTGCTGAAAATGAAAAGTAAAGCTTTCTTTATTTTTTTCCATTTGTCAGATGGCAGACGGAAAAATGATAGAATTAATAATAGAGTGATGGCAGATGGCAGACGGAATAAAAACTTATCTTTCTTTTGAATTTGGTGGTCTGTAGCTTTTGATAAAGCTTCCTGCACGTTCTAGCCTTGACTGTTCAACCAAAAGCAAAAGCAAATGCATCTTTATCTTTCTTTTGAATTTGGTGGTCTGTAGCTTTTGATAAAACTTCCTGCACATTTTAGTCTTGAATTTGGTGGTCTCTCTCTCTCCTTCCCTCTTCTTTCTCTTTCTAAGCTTAAAAAACCTTCATTTCCCGGATTCCAAACTCTAAAATCTCAGTATTCTCTCACTTTCTCGGCAACCAAACAAACAAAACCAAATTCCTGTTTCATTTTCTTCTGATGGGGATTGCAAGAAACGAAATCCTTCCCAGTAGACTGTCCGTAACCCGAATAATCATACCTCAACAAGTTGACTTGGAGGTGGAGACTCAGCTCACTGAACAACTCGTACATCTGACCCAGATCAGATGCGTTCCCATGCGAGTGCAGAACAATGAGCTTCACCGACGGATTCTTTATGTACACCGCCACGATGTTGTTCCCTTTCTTGGTCCGCTGCTTCAAGACGTCGACATTTTCCCTTGTCCCCACCCCAGTCATATTCACGACCGGTACTCGAATGTCTTCCGAAAGAGTTTCTCCATCTCCTTCTCAACCTTCGATGGCCGGAAAACCCGTTAGGGAACCCCATCCGGCGATGGTTTGAAGATCTTACGGCGGTTCTCGATAAGGAGTCGAGGGCTTCTTTGGCGGTGAACATGGGTCGGGTCGACATTTCCTTTAAACCTCGAGTGAAGAGGAGGGCGACGAGAATGCCGCCGACACTTAACTCGGAAACAACGTTGAATAAGTCGGAGATGGCGATGTTGGGGTCACCGAATTTTCTACAGAGAGAGGACTCGAGGAGAGAGAGAGCATTAGCGGCGAGGATGCCATCGGTGGCTCCGGCGGCGTCAATGGTGAGAATTCTGACCTTTCTGATATACTGTTTGCTAGAACACACGTGGTGAAGAATGCCTGGGTGAGGTCGAGGTTACCAGCTCGCGGGGAGAGATATTTTCTCTGCCCACCTACTTCTTTCCTACCGCCACCCTCGATCTCTAACTCAACAAAGTCCCCCTGACTCGATCGTTGACTCGCCCGACAAGGGTTTTGATTTTATGTTTCCAAGAAGAGAAAAATAAAGAAAATTTCACATAATGGATGAGAAAACACAGATAAAAACTTTTGGATTTTACAAAGCAAACATTGTTGAAGAAGAATATGAAGATCTCATTGAAAAAAAAGAAAAAAAAGGCATTTATCTGAGTCTCTCTCTCTCTCTGTAGAATGAATGGGTGTGTCTCTGAGTGTAGGTGTTGGGTTGTTTGGTTCTTGGGTTTCTGCAGATTCACAGTGGAGGTTGTGGTGAGGTTTCACGATGGTGAGATGAAAAAAATGAAAGAGAACCGACATAGCTTTTCGTGTCGATTCCCACAGACGGCGCCAAATGTTGATGCATAAAACCAAAAGGTCTTGAAACAACGTAAATCCGACCGTGAATCATGCAAACGTCCAAGAACACAAAGATGTATCGTGGTTCACCCCAATGGTTGGGCTACGTCCACACTGATGTTGATTGTATTTCTCTGTAACTATATGTATGGATTACAAGCTCAAAGGGAGTCCCTCTGAGGAATAGAGTGTTTGAGAGAGTTTCTCTGTGAGCTTTGTGGCTTGTATGTTTTGGGGGTATCCCCGAGTCTCATTTGTGAAGGAGGAAGAGTCCCTTTTATAGAATAAGGGGCTCCTCATTTTACATAATTATGGGCTAGGTAATAAGGCCCAAATGTTGAGGCCCAATATGTCAAAGTCTGAGGCTCAATATGTGTGGTACCAACAGAATCTTCAAGTTCAACTTCTTCAACATCCTCATGGTCTCCAACTTCTTCACTTGTAATGGTTTCGACATTAGCGAAAGTAGGATTTGAAGTACCAGAGGCAACTTTCTCAAGCTCCACCTGTTGGACATCTTTCACATTCTTCTCAGAGTCTTTGTACATACTTTCTTCATCAAATGTCATATCTCTGCTGATTACAAGCTTCTTCATCTCTGGGCACCACAACCTGTAACCTTTGAGACCACTGCTAAAACCAAGAAAGATAGCCTTTTTGGCTCTAGGATCAAGTTTATTTTCAATTACATGAAAATAAGCAGGCGAACCAAAAATATGAATATAATCATAATCAATAGAAGGTTTCCCAGTCCATACCTCTATTGGTGTCTTACCCTGAACAGCAGCTGAGGGTAACCGGTTGATGATGTGACATGCATAAGTAACTGCCTCTGCCCAGAATGACTTGCTCAAACCCGATTGAGACAACATACATCTAACCTTTTCAAGCAAGATTCGATTCAATTTTTCTGCAACTCCATTTTGTTGTGGAGTTCCGTGAACACTGAAATGTCTCATAATTCCTTCATCTTTGCAAACTTTAAAGAAAAGGTCGGATGTGTATTCACCACCATTATCCGATCTTAAAATCTTAATCTTTCTCCCAGTCTGTTCTCAACCATTTTCTTCCAACTCAAGAAAATGCTCAACACCTCAGTCTTGTGCTTCATAGTGTAGACCCAAGACCTTATAGAATAATCATCAACAAAGGTCACGAACCAATGTCTACCACTCAAAGAAGGAGTCTTTGTAGGACCCCAAACATCCGAATGCACATAATCAAGAATGCCCTTCGTCTGATGTACTACAGTACCAAACTTCACTCTAGTTTGCTTTCCCAAGACACAATGCTCGCAGAAATCAAGCTTACAGGTCGTGGCACCTTTAAGAAGACATTTTTTCACAAGCCCTTGTAGAGTTTTCTCACCGGCATGGCCTAATCTCATATGCCACAGTCTAGTAGTATCTGAATCAGATGTGCCCATATTTTCTGAGACTACAGACGCTTCACCTGTCACGGTGCTTCCTTACAATAGATACAAATGACCACATTGAGGAGCTTTCATTACAACAAGTGCACCATAAGTAACTTTCAATGTCTGCCCATCTGAATGAAACCTGAAGCCCTTGGATTCTAAAGTGCCCAAAGAAATAAGATTTTTCTTCAAATTCGGTACATACCGAACACCTGTCAACTCTTTAACCATGCCATCATGCAACTTTAAACGAACTGTACCAATCCCTTTTGTTATACAAGGATTGTCATCTCCCATGAACACAACACCACCATCAAACTCTTTCAAGCTTGAAAACCAATCCTTATGATGAGTTATATGATGAGTACAACCCGTATCCAACACCCACTTAGTAGCACAATCAAATGACGAGGAAGTGGTTAAAGTAAGATCAGAAAAATCTGTTTCAACCTCAGCAACATTAGCTTTAGAACTTTCTTTGCCTTTGGTCTTCAACCTAGGACAATCTTTCTTCCAATGGCCCTTATTACGACAAAAAGCACTTTCATCCCTTTCCAAGGTTTTTCTACCTTTAGAGTTTCCCCTAGGTCGAGAATGTGATTTTTTTCTACTAGAAGAGGATCTCCTCTCCGATGATCTATCTCTAACAAATAAAGCTTCAGAGGTACTATCATGATTTTTATCTCTATGCCTCATTTCATAATTCATCAAGGCATTTGACACATCTTTAAATTTCACAGTTTCTTTACCATGCATAATAGTGGTAACAAAATGCTCATAAGAGTCCGGCAAGGAATTCAACAATATTAAGGTCTTATCTTCATCCTTAATATCCTCATCTAAATTTAATAAGTCGGCAATTAACTTATTAAAAACATCAAGGTGTCTAATCATTTTGTACCTTCTTTATATTGGAAGCGGTATAGCTTTTTCTTCAAGTGTAGCCGGTTCTCTGCACTCTTCGCTATATACTTGTCTTCCAATTTTTTCCACAACACACTTGCTACTGTCTCCCGCATCACAAAGTACTTCTGAGTTTTTGCAAGGCACAACCAAATTAAAGAGCAAGCCCACAAATTTAATTTCTCCCATTACGGCTTCGACATAGCTTCTGGCTTCTCTCCCAAATCGGCAAGTAGATCTTGTTAAGCCAACACATCTTTAACCTCACATTGCCACATCCCGAAGTTGTTGTGCCATCAAACTTTTCCATTTCGAACTTTACATTTTGCACCGTAGTTCTTGCAAACTTGGAGCTGCTTCCAAAAGGATTCTCATTTTGCCCATTTGACATCTTTGGCAACTAGACAGTACCCAAGAGCAACCAATGCTCTGATACCAATTGTTGTGCTAGGATATCACCAAACCTTATGGAACCAACTCTTGATAACCCATAGGAAATTTATCAAATGAAATGCAAGAACAAAATATTAAAAACACCAAGATTTTAACGAGGTTCCTCAACAGTCAGTTTAACTGGAGTACGTCCTAAGAGTAGTTGGAGCTCACCCAATAATCCATAATCAACCAAATGAGAGTTTACAAAGTGTTGGCAAGCTCACAACCTAAAACCTCAATACAACCAATAGCTCTCACACACCAAAGAAACAAATAAAGAGAAATATAATGAATAATTTTCTCTCTATACAAAGCTCAAAGCTATTACAACAATAAAACTTTGATGGAGTGAGAACTAAACAATGAGATAGCACACTTTCTTCTTCTCTCCAAAATGGAGCTATTGAAAAAACCAATATGTGCTCTCTATTTTCTGCTACTATGTGGCTGCCCTTGCTCTCTCAAAGATGGGCTACTAAAACAAATAGTGCTCTCCCTCTTCTCTCTCACATTCGGATGCTAAGCTTCATCCTTTTGAAAGCACCCAAAAACAAAACCAATAATAAGGCTACTTGCTAGACTTTACCTTTTTTTTCTACAAACATCATCATGACCATTTCTATCTTTTCAACAAACATAATGATGTTGTCTACCTCCTTTTGTTTATTTTATTTAGCCGAAAGTTGTTGTTTTGTCATTTGGCCATAATTCAACAAGTTTCTCATGTTAGTATTCTGTTTCTCCAGCTAATCCCTATTGGACTTCAAAAATATCTGCTAGCATCCTAATGCCTTGCAGCATTCTATGTTTATGTGGCTTATGTTGAACTTTCTACTATGAAAGGTTTCGTGTTTCAAAATTTTAATGAATTTCTTTTCGAATTGATCATGTTTAGTCTGCTCCACAACCTTGAAAAGGATATGCAGACAACATGGGATTAAGCGTTGGCCATCTCGAACAATCAAGAAGGTTGGTCACTCTTTACAGAAACTCCAACTTGTAATCGACTCAGTTGAAGGCGCATCAGGTGCTTTCCAGATCAACTCTTTCTATACGAACTTCCCAGAGCTAACATCTCCAAATTTATCGGGGACCAGCCCATTTTCAAGTTCAAAGCTGAGTGATCAACCAAATCAGACAAACTTGTCACCCAAAGGCGGTGTTTTGAGCCCCCAAGCTACCGCATCAAAATCTCCCCCATCTTCATGCTGTCAAAGTTCCAGTTCAAGCCAAAGCTGTTCCAGCAGGACACAGCAACTTCCCTTCTCATGTAACATTGCTGGTAACGATGATCCAGTTGTTGGAGATAACTCAAGAGATGATGTGCTAAAGAGGGTCAGAAGTGAGGCAGGATTGCATGCTTTTGGCCAAGATCGAGCGGAGCTACTGCCAAGATCCCAAAGCCAGAAACTTCTCTGCGAGCAACAAAATCTGCAGTCTATTCCGCAGTCACTGAAAAATAATGGCCGGGTAGCTCAAGAAGGCAAGGTTCAAAGAGTAAAAGTTGCATATGGGGATGAGAAAACCCGCTTCCGCATGCAGAGTAATTGGAGACATGAAGATTTGGTGCAAGAAATCGCAAAGCGATTTAGCATACAAGACATGAGTACATATGATATAAAATACTTGGATGATGACTCGGAGTGGGTCTTGTTAACATGTGATGATGATTTAGAGGAGTGTGTTGATGTGTGCCGGTCTTCAGAGAGCCGCACAATTAAGCTCTCTCTCCAGATATCTCGTCATCACTTGAAAGGTTTGATAGGTAGACCGTCATGATAGTAAGATGCTTGTCTGAGTTTGCAAACACTAAAGTAGCAGAAGTCTGCAGTCAATAAAGTATGGATGCATCCGTTAGTTTTAGTAGGTATGTTGAAACCTTGCTTCATGGATCGCTGCTCCAAGCATATGAAATCTTCGCAATGTAAAGATGGAAGTTTTGCGTCGTGCAGAATTAAACGAAAGGATGGTGGGAAAGGAACATCTGGGATCTCCATCTGAAATTGCAGCAGCTTGAATGTATTTTGTTAGTCTAGTAGCTAGCAGTTAGTGACTTAGTGTATTCCTATTTTTTTTCTTTTCCTTTTGTTAATTACTAGTGGATGGTTGTCTGTGTATTTACATAATTTTTTGCCAATTAAAATAGTCCTGTTTATATATATTTATTTTTAAGGAAAACTAATGAAAAATGCTTGAAAACTTTGAGTTTTAATGATAAGGGCAAAATAAATGATAAAGTGAATAGGATCATGATTGATTTTTTAGTGTAAAAATATGGTTTTTCGTTAAAGTAAATAGTACTGAAAGCTTTTCGTTGAAGTTCCCTTTTTAATATGTGAATTGGGAATGCTTGTGCCAGATTTCTAAGCATTGAGTCAATTTCCAGAGGAAGAATTTGCTTTCAGATGAAGCTTTAATAACACAATTAAATGGGTTTGTTTCCTATCAGATCAGATGTTGGTAAATCTTTTCAGGGTGTTGGGAGACTTTAGATGCTCAATTGGGTTTCTGCTTTATAATGCGAATGTTCCGTGAAGGGTATTAATTGGAAGAAAAGAAAAGGGTTTATGACTATTTCGTTTCTAGTTTTCATTTGTCTGTTAGAGATATCGAAGAAAATACATTGAAAATAGTTAACTGAAGTAGGATCGAAAATGCGTTTATCATTGAAGTATACAATGTCAACTACTATAAGCATCGGCTCCCGAAATGATAGATTGTCGTGACGAAACTACCAGCTGGTCCCTTTAAAAGAAAAGAAAGAAAAAACCTCCTATGAGCATCAAGAAATTGTGTTAGAAGCGTCCTAGAAACTACACAAATTGTGAGTCCTACCATATGTGATGTAGGACGAATAAGAAGGATTTTAAAAGAATGATAGAAAACTTGGAATTCACTCAATCAGGATCAACGAAGCAAGATCAAGGTCATTAATCGCGGATTCAATCAATATTACCAAGTCATGCTTGATTTGAGAAAGAAATCATTTACTTCAATTGCACACGCAAATATAATATTTAATTAATCAATTCACCCCAAGACCTCTAGTACATCATTTTGTAAAGAAACTAAAGACAGAGGATCAACTTCGTCAGAAACTCTCGCCATTCTCTGACTTAACAAATTCCTATGTTATTATTCCAATGCAATTAGTGGTCTTCAATTTTTTTTTTCCAATAAAAAAAGGATTCTTTTCAAATAAAAAAAAGAAAAAAAAAGAAGAAGGTTCTTTTCAAGGTTTGACTACCGCATCAAAACAAGTTTTCAATCAAAAAAATTGAAAAATGAAAACAGAATAGTTGTCAAATAACGTCTTAATAAACCACTAATTGGATGCATCCTAAACGGAATAGTTTTCTGAGTTCTTTTGTTCTAAGGTTAACATATCTTTATACATTGATGTATGATACTTACGCCAAAGGAAGTTGATGCTAGCCAAACAGACAAATCTCAAAATCTACTATTTTCTTGCTCTTTTTTGTTTTGTGTTCCTTTGTCAGCAGCAGCAGTTGTATAATTTACATATTCAACTATTTCGATATTTCTGTTATTCGGTTCGTACATAATAATTCAGCTGTAAAAGAACACGAAAAAGAACTGGCTGAGGTAGTAATCCGCTATCTTCATAGTTGTGGGGAAACAGATGTCTGATCTTGTCTCTGCTCAACAGGCACGCGTCTTGAAGGCGGACCAAACACGCTCAAGAAGACCTGTAAACAAAACGTCGTTATGTACTAGTTGATCAAAATTCAAAAACAGACTAGTGCAAGACATGGTTTCTATCTCTATTCAACACATTTTCTTTTCAGATGCTAGTTATTGTTCAAGAATTTTATAATTTCCGTCGAGGATGGCGAGGACGTGATAAGGTAACTGTACTAACTTACCGGCAAGAACACAAGCCCATGTAAGAAACCAAGAAGAACCAATGCTAGGTACATTTGGAAATAATACACCTACAAAACATAAGAGGAAAAGATGTGTTCAAAGGGATCCGACAGTAATGGCCAGTATGATTAGACCGTGAGTAAAAGATTTAGTACCACAAAGATTTCCGTCCTCGAGAAACAAAGTACAATAACCCCAACTAACTTTGTTAATGTGATTCCACTGCAAAAGAATGTCAAGAGAGAATGGAAATGTAAGCTTAGATCGGATAAAATTTATCACACAAAATCCTATTGGCACTGCACTTGAGACTTTAGCTATTTGGTAAAGAATGATCAATCGCAGAAGATGCCCGGAGATGGGAACAAAACAAAGTAGGAGTTGAATTTCCCCCTTTCTTCCGAAGGAGGGTCGGAATTGGGCTAGTTACCTGAATACAGAGGCACCCATTGTAGCCAGAGCCTCCTTGGTGCGCTGGTCTTTATCTCCTGTGCTAACCTGCACAAGAAATGTTAATTATACACTTCAGAAGAAAAAGGTAGCATGTTGTCGCCAATGATAACTTTGATTCTGTTCTGTGAAGCCAAAATCAAAATACCCCAAGATTTGAAGGGACTTTAGGCATCACAGAAACTAACAATAGCGAGAAAGAGAAGGCAAAAGTAAATAACTAAAGATAATGTTTAAGAGTTTGACACTGACCGAGAAAGCATGTGTCATATGCACACAAAACTCAACCGAAATGCCCACTGCCATTACAAGATTCACAACAGAGACTGCATTCAATTGGATGTTCAGAATTGCCATCACACCCTGTAGAATGTTATCTAGTGAGCAAATGTGACCACTAACAGGAGGTATTATTTTGTTTCAAAAGAGAAATTTTAACGAAGAAAGATCACCATGAGATCCACTAAAATCATTGCCAACACCAACAGAATAATAGCTGAACTCCATAAACTACAAAACAAATTTGAAGGAAGCAACAATATATCATTATAAACACCTCTTTGCAAATTTTATTTGCTAAGGAAGCTGAATACAACGAGTTATCTTGCACACAATTACAAGAATTAAACGAGGCTAAGAATATGAATACTGACCTGCATGTGATAGCTAAACAAACAATAAACACAGCAGCTGGTACACCAAAAATTATATCCAGATTAATCCTTTTAATAAATGAAACCACAAATCTACCATATGCATATCTATAGTAGATAGATACAAGCTGAAATTAAAATCCGCGTTCCAGAGAGGTTACATTTGAATTTTATGAATTTTTTCCCCACTAAGATATAGTATTCAAAGCTATAAAAAAAACTAACCAATGGCTATAGAAAGGTTGATCAGTGCTGTTCTCCAAATATCAAGGTATTGCTCAAAGAACATATAGTAAACTGAATATGGGAATATCTCAATCTGCACCAGAAAATAAATATCAGTTCCACAGGTATACCACGAGCAACGCACTAGTGAATCAAGCTAACTTATTATAGTAACTGTCCCCGTGTAAATAAATAAAGAAATTATGAACCAGTGGCTTATGGAAAGGGGCAACACAAGACTGTTGTACTCAATCTAAATGTAGCATTTGGGGTCTCTTGTCAAATGAATCAAATGAACCAATGGACATTAACCCTTTTCCCATTTGCATGGGTTGTGATGTGGGCATAATAGACACCGCGTCGTTTGCAGATGTGGGCACACCCACATTGGCTAGAGCGGATGTGCCACCCCCTATGCACTCAAGTTTGAATCTCCCTCCCCACAATTTAGATTAGTTTAAACTAGAATATTGCTTAAAAAAAAACTAGAATATTTGCTTGTATCAAAAACAAAAACAGAGTATAGGAGTCATCCTTTTGCATAGTTTTCATATTGGGTTGCTTCACCACAATTCCGTTTTGAGCTATGTTTTCTACTTATTTACAATACAGATTTTGGTGTAGCTTTATAATATTAAAGTTGTACTGTAAATAAATCAATCGACTTAGCAAGTAGCCTTCAAATTTTTACCTTCAAAGAATCAGAAAGTCTAGAACTGAGCTCCCGAGCAGCTCTCATTGAATTTACGTAGTCAACCTAAAATAAATATGTAGATATTTAAGTTATGGGGCTTACTTTAGTGTTGAAACCTAGAAAAGACGGGAAGTGGTAATCTTTTTTGATTGATCACAAGATGAGATACCTGCTTGTTGAGAGGAGTATGATATGTTCGAAATGATGATGCTTGAATAATGCCACTTTCATTGCCTGATAATAAAAATATGATTAACATGTTAAAAATGTAGATTCAAATAAAAAGCTACATCTAATGGAAGTTTAACCTGAAAGCAGATAAGCCGTTTGGAAAGAGAAATCATAAGGGCACAATATTCCATCAACAAACCTTTGAATTCCACACTGCTAGTGTAAGCTCCATGGCCACCTTTAGCACAATCATTAGAGGGTAGAGCATTGAGGAACCATGGAAGTTTTTCTTTAAATTGTGTGGTAGAGGGACGGTCATTGTGAAGATCTGAGTGACGAAAGCACTGACAACAACAAAATTGAAAATGAGAATGGATGTGTTCCCCTATAAACAAAGAAATTCAGTTAAAATATTTCTGTCATGCCATGCGTATATTACCGTAGTACAGTCTTTGCACACTCCACCAAGGCTACAGGAACTATCACTGGGAGAGCAGCAAGGTGGCTGGAAAAGTGGAAAGAGTAAAACTTAAATTTAGTAGCAAGGGGATTGCAAGCAAAACAAAAACAAGATGATTTGTGCTCTAACAGATTTATAAGCGGACAAGAAAAGCATCATTATCATTAATTCTCTTTTACATGTAAAAGAAACTCCAAAACTGAAGACATTTCAACAATTTTGAATGTAAAACAAATTCCAAACATCAGACCACGCTTCCATAAGCATACTAACAATCATACTAAGAAAAATGTACCGTCACCTGATCATCAGGAGGGCAGTAAGTCCCATCTGTAAACTTCCGACAGCACCCAAATGCTTCTGGAGATATCCACACAAGAAAATCATCAAGCCATGAAGCAGCAGGCTTAGCAATGTAACTTGATTCTGGATTTAAGGATGCTCTTGCAATCTGTGGAAAGAAAAGGACAATTAACACAAAGAAAAGGACAAATCAAATTCAGACATAGAAAAACAAACGATTCAAATACATACATACAAACGGACAAATCAAACACATAAATTCTGAAATTAGGGATGGTCTAGCATTTCTGCAGATGCAGAAGGACAACTCACAAATTCACACACACATACCAAAACAGAAACTAAGGGGCAATCAAAATAACGGATACCATATCCCTGACACGTATTGGTTGATCAAAGAAGGATCCATAGGCACAAGAATGAAGGACATGGAAAATTTAATAGCCGAGTTAAAGAATAAAAGCTCAAAGAGATATGTACCAATTCACATTCATAGGAAAATGAACAGACAATTCAGATATTAAAAAGCTAGACCTTTCCCGCAATACATATCATATTAAATGTATTATGTACTACTCTCTCTTTATAATTACAGATTGAGAAAACCTCAACATATAATATACTAATCACCCTAAATATGAATTAAGCTTAACACATCAATCACTCTGGATTAGCAGTAAGATTGAAAAGAACCAGCTTGAATTAGCAAGAGACATTAATTGTTGTATGATTATCAAGGAAATACTGGCATGTGAACAAGAAAAATGCAGGGGGCATTTTATGCTTTAAAACAGCATCCAAAATCTTATAATTTTCCCATTATAAAGAGAACAAAGAAGGTTTTACCTCATTCAAAAGAGAATCTGAATCACACTGGCTAATTGAGCATAATTGGTTCGTATGTCTTGATTCTGAACTGAGGGACAGAGCAACATCAGAATGAAGCAGAGTTTCAGCGAACAGAAGCATTAAGATAAGTGTTTGCAAAAAAAAAAAAAATTAATAATAATAATAATTGACATCGTAAATGCATACATGAAAAGGCAAATGGAGAAAATTCCTTTTATGACTACAAATAGTTGCTTTCATATGCAGATGTATGCGTGCCAACTGTCCATGGGATGCGATTCCTAAAGAAAATAGTAGTTCTGATGGATAGCCACCATTGGGCATTTGGATGAAAAATCAAATGAAATGCTGAAGCACATAGTTGAAAGGCAAACATTTCAATCAGATTATATGTGATTTTCTGGATAGAGCATCAGCAGCAATTTCAAGAACTCATGACTGCTACACAATATGGTTTATATGTTGACCTAAGAACTAGACATTCATAGCTAGTTTGGTTACATACATCAAACAACAGTGAACATGAATAGCAGTATGATACCTATAATTGAAGTTCTTCACAACAAAGTATAGTGGGGGTCCAATTCGGAGATACTCCGAAACATTATTGAAATACCCCTGCAATATATAAAAGACAGCGTTACCTCAAAGAAAGAACAGAGTAATCAATAGCAAAAACGCATTTTTATAAGTAGGCAACTGACTTATAGACCTGAAGATAGGAGTCTCGGGGAAGAACAATCTTTTGTTCCAAACCAGGCTGAATTCTGGTGCATAATGCCTATAAAGTTCAAAAGAATCAGAAGTTAACTGAGGAAGGTGCGGCCACAAACAGTAAATGGATATTCACATAGATATGAAATATATGATACGTTAGGAGGAAGACTCAAAACTCACAATACTAGCCAATGCAAATGCAACAAAGATGGAAATGACAACCATCTTGACTCCCCAAAGACTGAGAATGGGAGCATGGATCTCCTGGAAATGCAAAACAAACAAAAAATGGAGAAAAAACAGCATTGTTAGAAATTAGGTAAGCAGAAAGTAAATGACTATCATCACAGAATTACCAGAGTTTTTGAAATAAAAAAATAGCATCAAAGTTTTTATTGACAAGCCAACATTCTATTCCTTAAAAGGTTTAAGCCCTTGTACATAGAAAAGTATGAAAATCATGGTAGATTGGTAATTCCAACTGCCTATATCATCCCTACGATCCATCCACATGGTTTTGTAAGACAGTTTACTGTAGTAAAAAAAAGCAATCACCTTCATATAACGAGTCAATAAACCAGGATTGTTCTGATCAATACCTAAATAAAACAGCATTCAAAAGAAAAACATAATATGAGAATGAGAGTAGGGTTGATTGAAAATTAGTGTTGGCATTAAGGAAATGCATCAATCTGAATCAAGTTATAAAAACATTCCGATACCTTTGTCAGAGTTGGCATATGATGAAATTTTCATGCATGGGAAACAATCAACCCTCTTATCCTCAGTTCTCCGAAAATCAAAAACAATCAAAGCTACAAATGCAGTAACTTGAAGGAGAAAGTCCAGCAGAACAGCAAGTGCTGCAGAAGAATGTGCAAGAGTAAGTTTGGAGGCCTGAGGTCAGACAGCAAGACAACAAAAACGTATAACAACTATTTCATATATCTAAAAGTTATTATGGATCAGAATTTCCAACCTGCAAACATGGAGAACACGCGGCATGCTGGCATAGGAATAAAACTTCCAACTGCAAACGCTAAGACCTCTGATAGACTAGCTAGTGTAATTGATGGTCCAACTTCCACAAGTGCATTGCTTATTCGCCCTTCTAAAGGCAACTCCAAGGGTTGCCGTTTGACAGCATTCACCAGTATACACATATTATCTACCCCAACCTATACACATTGTGAACAATTTGGCAAACCAAATTTTCAAGCAATATGTAATTATGTATATATGTATATATATAGACATACATTGTATATAATATAAACAATTTGGCAAACCAAATTTTCAAGCGATATGTATGTATGTATATATATAGACATACATTGTATGTATAATATATGTAAGAATATCGAGGAACTTACAGCTAGAACAAGAAATGGAATAACTTCCATGATGATTAAGGTAGATTTTACACCTATAACACTGAAAAATCCCACTGATCCAAGAACTGACAGCATGACAAGCACAACCCCAGAGAGACCAAGCAATACCTGGAATTCAAACGTGCACAATTATAGTGACAGAAATGATGTCTCAATTTTGAATCAGAGGAAAACCAAACACATACAAATAGGGCAGTATTTTCCAGTAACTTAAAACAAACTAAAATAGTTGAGAACATACCTTAGACGAAATGTAAAATGATGATAAACGAGGTGAATCACCCAAAGTAAGAGATATATAAGCAAACATCACAAGATAGCTTATCTGCAGTGAAACACGAAACCATAAATAGATTAGTAATTTAAAAGATTCAAATGATAAATGAATAAAAAAATTATTTAACCCACATACTATATCATGTACAGTACTTATGCATTATAGATATTCTGAGCTTTGATTATAAAAGGAAACATGCAACTAAAATAGTATAGATATTCTGAGCTTTGATTATAAAAGGAAACATGCAACTAAAATGAAAGAGAGAAAACACTTACCAATATTGTAATAGCATCTGCTGTACTTTCTCTTTTAAGTTCTTCTTCAACAGAGCTTTCCGATGAAAAAGAAAGTGTTAAGTTTCTAGATTGCACCATTTGCAACAATTCATCCTATCACAAAAACGAAACAATAAACGGTTATGAGAGAAATGTCTACTTTCATTCGGGACAGGATGGTAACACAAACAAGAATGCAAAAAGTAAACAATTACAAGAATTATGCTAGACAAAGAGTAAACCTTTGCAAGCTCAATAAAGGCTTTCTCCCATGCCAATGCCCTTTCAGTTTCATTCCCATCATTACTACGAGCATTGTTTACAGGATAAGTTACAAGAAATGCTGACGCCTGCATTGAAAAGAATCATAATGGTCGATAAATACTCAAAGAATTCGATCTTCTTATCAACTTAAGAAGGTGAAAAAAAAATGAATTTGTTCATGAAAAAACAGAAAAATCGTTACCTCAGAGTAGTTTTTCCCAGAGAAGCCTCCTAATGCTGTGCTAGGATCAAGAGGACCTTTAAATGCACTCATACATGTGTCGGCAGATGAATAGTGCTTCAATAACACAAAACACAAATGTTAATAGGTCTACTTTCCATAACCGTATTGCCATGTTCTTTGAGAATTTTGGAATGGTAAAAATAGCAAGAAAATCAATTATAGAACAAGCTGGAGAGAAATGTAAGTATATTAAAATGTGAGTTTGGTCATTTTACCAGATGACTACGGCTTATCTAGAAGGAAAAAAAGGGAAAATATGGACAGATCTCTATGTTCTCATTATTTGAGAAATTGAGCAGAAAATAGATGCACATAATAATAATATAGATCAAGCAATGTGATGAGCAACAGAGACATTAGTTTTATCCATCAGCCTTAAATAAAAATTAATAAAAACAATATTGTTTTGTGTTACCAACCCTGACATTCTACAAATAACAACAACAACAACAACAAAAAAGCCTTTTCCCACTAAGTGGGGTCGGCTATATGAATCCTAGAACGTCATTGCGCTCGGTTTTGTGTCATGTCCTCCGTTAGATCCAAGTACTCTAAGTCTTTTCTTAGGGTCTCTTCCAAAGTTTTCCTAGGTCTTCCTCTACCCCTTCGACCCTGAACCTTTGTCCCGTAGTCACATCTTCGAACCGGAGCGTCAGTAGGCCTTCTTTGCACATGTCCAAACCACAGTAACCGATTTTCTCTCATCTTTCCTTCAATTTCGGCTACTTCTACTTTACCTCAGATATCCTCATTCCTAATTTTATCCTTTCTCGTGTGCCCACACATCCAACGAAGCATCCTCATCTCCGCTACACCCATTTTGTGTACGTGTTGATGCTTCACCGCCCAACATTCTGTACCATACAGCATCGCCGGCCTTATTGCCGTCCTATAAAATTTTTCCTTGAGCTTCAGTGGCCTACGACGGTCACAAAACACGCCGGATGCACTCTTCCACTTCATCCATCCAGCTTGTATTCTATGGTTGAGATCTCCATCTAATTCTCCGTTCTTTTGCATGATAGATCCTAGGTAGCGAAAACGGTCGCTCTTTGGTATTTCCTGATCTCCAATCCTCACCCCTAACTCATTTTGGCCTCCATTTGCACCGAAACTTGCACTCCATATATTCTGTCTTTGATCGGCTTAGGCGAAGACCTTTAGATTCCAACACTTCTCTCCAAAGGTTAAGCTTCGCATTTACCCCTTCTTGAGTTTCATCTATCAACACTATGTCGTTTGCGAAAAGCATACACCAAGGATACTACTATAAGATAGTGATCAAGCATACTATAAAATAACATACCTATAAAATAGTGATCAAGCATACTACTATAAGATGCACATATGATGGACCATGGATCATGAATCTCATTAGACAATAAACTAGATTTACACTTCAGATAAGTTGTAGATGGAAATTATAAGAATATACCTCAAAACAATACTTTAGGTGTTCAACCCCACCATAACCATCATAATTTGCAGGATCCATTTTGAAGTACTGGAACGAAGAGAGAAACTGTTAATAATAATTTTAAAAATATCTAGCCACAATGCAATAATTTTTTGGAATATGGAGAAATTGTGGTTTAACACCTTGAAAAAAACCAACACACTGTCAGTGCAAGTTACACATTTAGGTACCGGCTTCAAGAACTCGTATCACATTCAGAATGATTTCAAACATGTAAAAAGTGCGAAAATAAGGATAAGTTAAACAAAAAATCACAAGTTTCGTTTACCATTTTAATATGGTCACCCAGAATGCATCAACTAAATGTAGGCCATCAAAAAGAGTTGTACCTGTAGGACACTTTGAGTGGCGCAATCTTTGTCCATTGGCTTCATGCAAATATCAGCAAGAGATACCGCGGATCCAGAATAATTTGCTTTAATTCCATCAACCTGTCAAAGATGAGTAATGTTGTATAAAGAAGTATTCTTTTACCACACGTCAATGCAGAAAAAACAGACAGAACAAAAAATCAATTGGAGTACATACTACACATCAAAACAAAGAACATTTCTAGTCTCATATAGCCCATCCAATCTTATAAGATAAATACTTAAATTCTGAAAAGTAATACTACAGTCTGGAAGGATAAATACCTTCTTCTGTATCTCAAAAAGTAACTTAATATTGTCCTCCGTCACAATACTAGGTGAGTTACCAAGCTTACCCTCTGGAATTGTTGCTAATATTAGCTGCAAAAAAAAAAACACCAGGTGTGACATAAGTTTCTCCGCAAGTTGAAAGCTAAAGGAGTTGAGTTGTAAATACAACTTCGCCCTATACTACAGCAGGCTTCTCATACCAACAACAAAGTGATGATGATAAATAACGTCCAGATAAAAAGGAAAGGCAACTCATTTCCAAGATATGTCTGTTGGCTCTATGCTTTTTAACCTTTTTTACTTCCCAGTTCTGCTACCTTGGAAAGTTAACCTCATTGCATCGCGTAAAGTGTAACACCTCATAAGATGAAAAATAGTTCACCAAAACAGAGTGTGTAACAATGTAGTACCTGCTCAATTCTGTAGAAAGGGGCTAGGTGGCTATCAAAAAATTGCTTCTCTTCTGCTGCTTTACTCCCAGGCCCTACCCACAGCTGCAACATTACACAACTTAAGTTGAACAGAATGGTACAACTCCAACAATAACATAGAATGCTTCTGGCCATAACAAATTAAAATGTAAAACGTATATATCTAGTGACATAAAAAAATGTGGCATGCATACAATAGTTGTTTAAATGCTAAACGTCCACAAGAGAACCCACATCGAGGTTCAGAGGGGAGAGAGTATAATTGTGAATAAACAGTGGGTTGAATACAAACTTCACAAGATTTGAAACTGATGAACCTCATGAGTTATCTAGGCACATGTTCCATTGTATAAAAACAGTCATGGTTCCAAATGCCAAAAAGGAGAAAAAGAAAATTTTGTAAAATAATTGAGAGCACTAAAACTCTTGATTCAAAATAGTGCAACCAATCACATTCACATTTTTTTAAACGCATAAATTATTTAACTTAAAAAGATCATTCAAGTACTGAACCGAACCTTTTCAGGCCTTGTTTCCACCTTGAAACGGATAAGACCCAAACAAAGCAGAAGAACTACAGCCAATGATGAGCACAACACTATAATTGGATTCCTAGCAACCCATGTTCCATATCTCCTGTACATCAAAATGTAATAATTTAAGAAACCAATTCTGCCTTAACTGAGTCACTGACAGAAAAGTTTGACATGGAGCAATCATTCTGCAAGGGATAGCAATCACCTGAAAAATTTTGACATGTATCCTTGCACAATTGAAAGTTGGACATCATTTCTAACGTGAGAAGCATCTTCAAATACCTATTACCAACAATTTTAGTGAAATATATGCTTACAGACTCGAGATTATGGCAGTGATATAAGTTGAGCACACCAGCAATTTCATGAAGCGAGTTAACCAAAAGCTAAAGAGGAAGACAATACTGGTAGAAAGCTACACATTACAGGGACAGTTTTTGTGGTAAAGAACTTTGCTATGTTGAAGCCAAAAAAAAAAATCTATAAGCATATGTCAACTAGAGAGAAGTCTCAGTAATCTAAAGAATATAACAGTAAAATAATTGGGCACAATACAGAAAATATATCAAGCGTTTATACTACTGAAAGCTAACGAGGAAGACTATACTAGAAGAAAAGGTGAAAGAAAAAAATCCAGTGAGAATTCTTCGTTTGTTAGAAAATGAAGAAATAAACTATAAAAAAATATTTCCTAAGCATATCCCCGCTTTTATGTGCATAGTTCATCAATGTAGATTGGTAATCTGACACGATATAAATAATAAATTCATTATTAACAGGAGAATTTGCAAACAAGGAAAACAAAACAAAACATAAATCGAGGAATGGGGCAGGTGAGGTCAGGAATGACATATATGATCCATAAACCTTTGCAGATAGATGAAACACAGACAGCTAGCTAAAAGTAGCAGAAATATATGGCGTATGTATGATAGAATGCACACAAACCGTCAAATGAAAAAACCAAAAAGCAGATTTAAACATGCAAACATGGAAAACAAAAATGATATAAATTTCAGATCAACACATGAATAAGTAAACGATTATATATATGCGTGTATTACGTATGTATACCGCGAAAAAAAAAAGAAATTGGTTTCCACCTGCATCGGAGGGTTCTCATTCTTCTCCCTGTTAGAATGAACTTCGCCATCATCCATTACATTCCACCATGGTTTTGTCCCAGAAGCTGGCTTGGTTTTTCTAGTCCGATGAAACAAACCCCACCCAAAAAACACAGAAACCAGTGCAATATATAGAACAGCAACAGCAAGGTCAATACATTTAGCCTGCAGTTGTCACAGAAGTAAAGCGTATAAACAAAGAGTATACTTCCTGACTTCACAGTACCTACATGAAATATTCATCCAATATGACCAAGCTAATTCATGTGAGAGCCAAAAGCTTAAAATATACTAAAACATGCTCTCTCACCTTAATCGATCCAATTCTCACTGAACATGAACCTCCTTTTCGGGAAACCGGAGAAACTGTGTTAGAACAAACTGTAGCTGAAGGGCAATCACCACAGGAACAGCCCAGTGAATTATCACCACATGAATAAGTAGATACATTCATAGGTTTCATCCCAGATGACACAGTAACACTTGAAGGGAATCTAATGGCATATGGAGAACCTGGCACATTAGAAGGTGCTTGTCTGCCGATAAAAGCAAACCAGTCTGCCATAACCAACAGTAAAAGCACAGCTAGTTATTAAACAGCACAAACTAAGGCATTGGCATACAAGCACTTGACCTTTGAGGAAAAATGTAGGGCTCAATTGCATAAGGTAAACAAAGAGATGTTCTTGGAATTCTATAGAACAAGGAACATCACTCAGAAATTCCTTGCCTCTGCCAATTAAGTATCCAATGGTCAATCAATCCCCACTACCAGCAAAAGCAAGAGGCTAAAAGACCCACGTTTCATGATAAACTAAATAGTGAAGCGTTATTTCCACAGTTAGATCTTATCAGCTATTGCAAAAGTAGCCATGTCACTTGATTAATATATGCCAATTTGATATGCTTATCTTTCCATTATCATGCCCCACTTAAGGGTAAAATCCGTATAGTGTACATTTGCCTGTGTACGTGCATGAGAGAGAGAGAGAGAGAGAGAGAAAGACCTAATTTGCAGTTTCAAAAGAATAAACTTACCTTTAAAATTTTTAGCACCAGCACCAATAAATTCTATAGCTCGAGAATTCATGGTACCGAACTTGACATCCTTGCAGGAGTTAAATAACCCTTCACCAAAGTCATCAGTTATATAATAATCAATCCCATTGACAGTCATGTTTCTGTTAACCTGAAAATGGAATAAGGTTCATTAAGTATTGTCTCTCTCTAAGAAGAGACATAATCATATTCTCTATTCGACAAAAAATAAATTTAAAAAACAAAATTATTTCCAAGTAAAAGACTAAATCCTAGCAAAATTCAAACTTTAATCAACGAATCAAGAGGGTAACAACATGCTCAAGTAATAAAAGAATTATCTGCTTCCTTTCCCATTTTTCATCAACTAAATGAAACTCAAAAATGTTCATGTCCTAAACCATCAAGTAAACTAAACATAAGGATGAATGTCAAACGATTTCTGGGACTTAATCCTTTTACCATATAACTCAGAGCTTTCATTTCTATTTTTAGTTGATGCAACAGTTATAAGACTATTGAGACCAATTGATACCATATTGGCATGTTAGATATAATTCTAATATTCTATACAGACATCATACATCACAAAAAACAATCGACTGCAGTAGGTCGCTTTGGCAAGCCAAGAGATGTAAACACATCCCGATTGGCAAGAAATTTTGTAAAAGCATGAATCAATGTTTCTTGTTGTGCTTGAGATTATATATAGCCTTCTTATTTGTATAATTAATAAACCATAAGATTGTACTGCAGGATGAAGGGAGCATAAAATATTTCAGTATGGAACAGTAAAATACGAAGAGGGTTTTCTGACCTTGGCTACAGAAGTCACATTGATAAACAAACTCTGATTTGGAGAGCAGGTAAGCTCACAAAACAAATTCAAAAAGTTTCTTAAGCATGCCGGACAACCTACAAGAAAGGGAATCGCCTGCAAAAATAAAACACACGTTAAAAGAATACTAATTATATATTGTGGGGTGAGGGTGAAAAGATTATGGAGAGAAAAATGAATAACCTAGTTTCTTAGCAGAGAGGGATTACGACCAACTCTAAACAGAAAATATACTTACTTGCTGGACCTGTGACCGTAGTGTGTCAAATTGAGCTTCTGTACAACAAACATTTCCAGTAATTGTTGGACACAGACTTTGGACCTTGGACGAAAGTAAATCATCCGGCTGAAACACATAAAATATGCGATATTTGGGTTGATTAAAAATCTTAAACACACATTATGATGGAATAACAAGCAAGGGGGACTTAAAGCTACTTTTTTATCAGCTCTTTTACTGATAAAAGAGTGACTGCTTCTACCTTAACGGATGGGGTACCGAAGGGGCAGTTTATGTACTTTCCATCACTACGTTGCCCGCAAATGCCATACATTGCGCAATACCCTTCCGAATGTCTTTCCCTAGACAACAAGAAAAATAAAGTGAAGAACAAATTCAAGAAACCTCGAGTTCAATCGTCATATTATTTTTTATTCATCGGATAATTAATCCAGGAAATTAAAATTACGATTCCCGGAACCAAAGATAGTTAATTGAACAACCATCATAGATAACACCACATGAGCAGGACATAATTCAGATCAGGAGCGATTTAAAAACAACTATTTTAAAATTAACTTCCAGTCACCATTTATTTTATTATTATTATCAATATTTTAGTGAGATTTAACTAAAACACACCATATGCATCATGAAGTGCCAAAATTAAGCAGAATTAACTAAATTAAATAACAATGAAGCCTCGGAAGTTTGCTAATGCGAAAAATAAAGTTGATATCTTGTGCATGTAAAATGTCAAGGAAGCCGCCTCACCCCGCCGCCGTAGTATTAGACGTCACGGAGGTCTGAGCAGCGTATGCTACGCCCAGAATAAATAACACCTGCATAAATAACACTTGCATCAGTGAAAGTAAGCAAACTGAAAATGTTGTTAATTATACTCGAAACGAAGTCGAACGCGCCTCAACTAATTCAATTCAATTCAATTTTGAAGTCAAAATTCTGTTTGGTTACTGAGAAAACTGTAAGAAAAACTTGGGAAAAAAAAAGAAACAAATCGAGAAAAAAGCTCGAACTCTTTTTCCGTTTCTTCAGCTTTTCGTGGTCCTCAGAAAAAAAGAAAGTTGGAAAATCGGGAAACGAGCAAGAAATTCCGTCGGAGTTTTTATGGACATGTTCGGAAAAAGGAATTAAAAGCGCTTGCCTGGAAGAAAGAGAGGGGGAGGAGAAGCCCCGGACGGCGGAGGGCCATTATCCTCTGCGTGCGACCTCAATCCTCAATCCAGTACGGAAGAGTCCAAAACGCAGCGAATAATGCGGAGGAAGACGGAGACGACCACTCCTCTGTATCTGCGTGCGCGCGTTTATCGCTATGTGCTCTCTGTAATTGTATGTTGGAGAGAGAAAGCGAGGAGAGAGAGAGGACTGAGAGAAAAGAGTGAGAGGGTGTATTTATAATTATAACTACAAAAAATTATAACGTTTCCTTCCTTTCGCTGCTTGTATTGGCTTCGCCTGTATGATGACACGTGTATTAATTTAGTTTCAGTGAGTGAGATTTTTCAATGTGGATGAGATTTTTCCTGTCGCACAGGTGTTACATCACTTGTCATTATATAAATAATGAGATATATATATGTTAAAAACTTAAAAAATAAAACTTCCCACCACTTACATAAAAAAAGGAAATGTACCATCCGTGTTCCTAGGACAACTAAAAATTTCTCGTGAAACACGAAGTAATACATCATATGTCACTTATCAATAATGGTGAAATATGTTTATTAAAAAATTAATAACTTAAAAAATAAAAAAATTTCAAATTTATATAAAAACATATGATGTATGTTATCGAAAAAAATCAGTACTGGAACACGGTTTAGGGTAGGTTCTCCCAGTCTCTCTTTCTCTCTTACAAGTCACACCATCTTCAAGGGGCAGCGAAATCAAGGACACGACGGCAACAAGAAAATTACCGGTTTCATTTACGAATTTGCCCCTGCTTTCGGTTGGTTTGTCGGAGCATCGTCTTTCCAATGATTTTTAAGCAAGTACGACAGGGATTCATATCATTAATTACATAAAACTGATATTTTGATTTTTTTTTTGTATTAGATGTTAGATTAGTTATCGATAAAATTTAAATTCATGTCGTCATACAAAAATTCAACACATTTTTATCATTATGGTAAATAACCACTTACGTTGATGTATTATAACTGTGACAATTCGATTCTTATATAAAAATTAACATATAAAAACATTATGGTGAATTTATTTTATTTTAGTCATTCTCGTTATTGGGACGTGGCTGTTTTAGTAAGTTGAAAATACGTGGACGAGGAGAGGATTTAGGTCGATAGAGAGGATTGATTTAGTGATTACGTAAGGATGAGATGAGATGGTTGATTTGTGAGTTGGAATTCAGTCTGTTTTGGAAGACAGAGAGAAGACAAAGTGGTGGACTGGAAGTGTGAACATAATTTTCTTCTTATTAGTGTGAAAGTGCGCAAAATCTTACGCACACAGATGATATATGGCTTTGGCATTGAGTGTGGTTGTTAAGCGATAAAGACGTATGGCGTGCCCACAATTTCAAATCAAAGGATTTATGTGTGACATTTATCTATCAACTGTTATCGGTATGAATTATCTAGAAATTTACGAATTGTGTATTAATAAGAATAACTGACAGCCTAAAGTAATACTCTATAATGTAATAAACTCCTTAAAATAGTAAGAAATTTCAATCTCAATATTGTGGTATTTTTTATGTTGACTTTTATTTCTCTCAATATTTTGACATATGAGATAAGCTTGTCCCGTTATAGCAGTTCCACCGGGGAACTGATAGGCCAGCACCCAGCCAAAAAACCAACCTGGCACCCAGGCTATCCACTCCAGCCCAGCATTTTGACCGACACCCAGCCCAAGCCAGGCAAGAGACCGCCCTAAAATCGACAAACCCACATGCTGGGCCATCAACCTCCCGCACGATCAACGCGTTGTAGAGAGATCTTGGGGCAGAGCTCCTTGAGGTTGAGGTTGATTCTGAGTTCTTGGTGCAGAGCTCCTCGGGGGCTAAGGGAGATTCAGGGTTCTTGGTGCAGAGCTCCTCCAAATCCGAATGGGGAGGGAGAGAGGGAGAGAGAAATGCAGGGAGGTTCCAGACTTACCTTCTTTTTTTTAAATAAAATTATTATTTTTATTATTTTTATTATTTTATAATAAAAATAATAATATTTTAATAAAATTAACTAGGCTATTTTTTGTTAGGGGTGGAGATGCATTTGGTGTATTACTGTTCGTTTGGGTCTATCACTTTTTTTAGGGGTAGAACTGCTCTTAGGCACTTTGTTTCTTATTTTAAAGAAAAAATAAATAAAATTAGATAGACTCACCCCTGTTACAACTCCCATTCGACACTTTTGCTGATTTGTGTATCTCAAATTTTTTTTTTTTAAATTGATGCTTTTAATGACTTTAAGAAAAATAATTTTATGCTTGAAAATTTGGAATGAGTTGTTTTTTATGATTATTAGCAGCGATTTTCACATGCACTTTGTTTTCTCCTTTTATACTCCTTTTTTGGGCTTCTTGATATCTAAATGCTAGAGAATACAAGTGAGTGCAAAGAAGAAAATAAAAGTTCGAAAATCGCTTTTTATTTGTATATGTATTGAGCTAATTCTGAGTAAGGACTCGAGAAATACTCAAAGTTGTTCCAACAATATTAGCATTCATTTTACTTTTACAGAAACATATACCATTTATATAATTTAGCTTCACACACATTCTGATTTATGCCAAGCAATACTCTAAAGTTTTTATCAAAAATAAAATATAATATAATATAAAAAAGACTAGATGGTGGTGGCAGTTTACCCTTTCGGTGGCCTAGAAGACTCATATAGGCATTTCAACTTCCTCATAGCCACTATCGTGTGATTCTCTAACGTCATGAATCGAACTCAGAACGTGTCGTGTGGAATACAGACATAAAATTCGTCTTCAATCACCAGACCATCCCGTGATTGGTTAAAAGTTTTAGAAATAGTAAGTTTGTTCAACATTATTGCCATTCATTTTAATTTATTTTTAGGCCCATACCATTATACTAAACAAAACTATTTCAGTTCAACACAAGACAAAGGCAACAATTCTAAACAAATTAATGAAAAAAAAAAAAAAGATGCCCACAAAAAAGTGCGGCGTATTATTTCGGGCGGGGTAGTTTGAGATCCTACAAATCGCCGGCATGAATAAAGAGGACATAGGATGGTGCTTGTCACAAGTAACTTGTGCCTGCCGGTTCTATGCAATCAATATGATCAAATAATATGAACTTCGATGGGTCCAAAGATGTTTAACTAGTTTGACTTTTTTGCGGTCGCCACTGGCATTACGGTCTCATCTTATTTTCTGTATTTGTACTCAGTTTTAAATTTAGGGTAGTGGTGTTTAGAGGTGGTAAATTAATATATTGAATTGTTAATTTATACTTATTAACATTTATTTAGTTTGATTTCAGTTTACATCATTGTCATCACTTGGTCCATTACCAATCTCACTTTTGTATTATGGTTATATCAAATTAAACGCCTCTAAACGGATACCCACTCACAACCCTATGGGTTGATTTGCCACATTTACCGCTATCCACACAAATTTTTTTACCTTCCACACATCATTGTTAATTTTTAGGGAATTTTAACGAAAAGCTCTATGTACTGTTCACTTTAATGAAAAACAATATTTTTACACTAAAAAGTCAATCCTGATACTATTCACTTTACCTTTTATTTTGTCCTTATCGTTAAAATTCAAAGTTTTCAAATCTTTTTTTATTAGTTTTCTTTAATTTTTATTCATTGACACTTTTCAATTCATCCGATCTGAGAACAGAAAATTAAGAAAAATGTTTGAAATATATAAATAGCACTACCTTAATTTAATTTCTATGATTGACGGGCTTCATATCAAATTATTAGGACAAATTTATTGCATAGTCTAACTCAAAATTGGGTGATATGGCATAAAACCTAATCCATACCTACCTTGTTCGTAGGCTTCTAGATGGTGCCAGGTAATTTCACTGCAAAACACATAAGACCTAGTTTGGGAGTGAGGTGCTTAAAAAAAAAGCACCTATGAAAAAAAGCTGTTAGGGTTTTAGGTGTTTGGTAAACTGAAAAAAAAAGGGCTTATTTTGGAAGCTGCTGTGAGAATAAGCTGAAATCAAAGGAAAAAGCTGAAGCTGCTATTTGCAGCTTTGGAAAACTGGCTTTTTTTCAAAGCACACGGGGCTACAGTGCTCCTTTAATGAAAAGACCCACTATCAGACTGCTTTTTTTTTCCAAAAGCACTTTTACAAAAAAGTTTACCAAACGCTCTGCTGATTTATTTCACAGCCGCTTATTCTCACAGCAGCTTTTTTTCAAAGCACAGCAATACCAAACCAGCCCTAAGTAGGTCAGTGCGGTGGCTGTGGATTTTGGAGGCAGATCTCTGCCCTCCTATTTTACGTGCCCTTCTATTTTATATGATCACGGATAAGTCACGTCAATATTTTATATATATTTTTTATAGAGATAATAAGATAAAAATAAATAGTAATATAAATTGTTGACGTGGCTTAACTGTAACCACACAAACAGGAAGACACGAAAAGTAGGAGAGCAAAGAATCTAGATTTTAATGGGGATAGTTCGAACCAACTACCAACACACCCCAGTGACCCAGTGAGTGACTAATGCTAATTAGGACCAATCCATATGATATTAAACGATGATGTTTTTCTAGGGCACATAGCGTAAAACTCATATCACTAATGAGACGTAGCATCGTAGTCGGGCCTATTTTATTAAGGGTTTTTAGGGGCCGCTGCCTCGTTAGTCAAAATTTTAGACAAATGGTTTACCATTCATTCTTTTGATTGAGAGATAAACTGAATATACCGCGGTGCTACATGTTACATTAAAATCTAATCACGATTTATAGTATTTAGAGATGGGAAGTAATATTAATTTGGAAAATGTTAAAGATTTACAATAAAGTTAATTAACAATATATATAATAGTTTAACTATTTTATAAATGTATGTAATGTCCTTCCTCTTATCATTGTAAAATTTATTCTCAACACGTCTTTTTATGTGTGACGAATTTTCAAGCCTAACACGTAGACAACACAACTCGGTTGACGTGGAGCGTGTGTGACCATTGGGCTTCACACATGAGACAACTTGTTATGAAACCATAAAAAAAGTTGATGTTTCACCATAAAACCAATTGGCAATATAAAAAGTAACCAAATTACTTTATAAGCACATACAATATCTATTCTCTCATCAATATAAAATTCATTATCGACATAATGTAGGACTCACATGCGTCCGTCAATTTGTGCCTAAATAACATTGTTGTTGTATACAGTGGCGAAG